CCCCAAAACCCCAAAACCCCAAAACCCCAAAACCCCAAAACCCCGTAAGCACCAATTTGTGTTGAACTAAGTAAAAAAAGAAGGGATTCTTAAATGCAATAATGAAGAATTAACCCCTCAATATTGAGGCTTGAGCCTTTCACTGATCCTTTTATTATAGATCGAAGTAATAGCTATGAAAAATCTCTAAAAATTATCTTCTAAACTAGGCAGTTAAAGAGAAATTTGATACTATTCTCGTTCTCATCAGACTTTACTTTTATGTAAAACCATAGTAAATCTAAAGTAAGCCAATATCGGTGCCTATCGAATTTATCATATGCATAAATTAGCAACAGTGAGTTCTAGTGCTCAGCTAATGCCAGAAATTTTAGACAACTTTTGGAGAAAAATATTTCATCAAGGGCTTCACACTAATTTAAACCATTTCATGACCATATCATGCCCTTGCATTTTGAGCTCCTTTTGGCTTATAACTAAGATATATGCTTTAGCATGCTATATAATATTGGAATTATAAGACAGAGACTGTAACTCTGCCTTCTTGGGTACCTAAAAATCCATGATTTCTACATTTAACAGTTTACATCTTTTGGTGCAAATGCCAAATCGTGTGAATTGCAGCTACCTATCTCCCACAAACAATAAATCGGAATTCTCTTCCTCTGTTGGACATATAAACTCTAAGCTACAGTATAATTGAAAGCACCTCCAATTTCTCATATTATCAGCTCTTTGGTTGGTTATGTGATCCTTCAAAGATGACTGAGTTTTCTCTATTATGGCTAAGCAAAAGATTACAACGTTCTGGGAAACTAATGCATTCCATCCGATTACTTAGCCTTACATTGTAGCTTCACCTGCAGTGCTTAATAAGTCTGTGACCAAAGTCGTTATAAATATTGGTGACTGCTCAAATTTTAAAAAATGTCCTTCTCAATTCAATAATAATGGTCCTGTACTCAGCGATTTTTATTCATTTGCAGAATTTGGTGACTAAATATTAATCCATTCTATGATTACAAATTTTAGATAAATTAGCTAAAATTAATTTTTAGAGGCTTTAGGCAAGTTTTGGAGACATATAAACCAACATATGTAAATTCGCTATTTTGTACAAAGTGTGAAGGGAAAATGTTGAGATAATTTATCTCTTATTGAAAAATATGAAACTTGATAAACTTTCTTAGAAATCTCAAGTTACAGTATTAATTGTAGGCCAAAGTATCAGAAGCTGGGTATCTGGAGGCTTATCTTACGCACGAAATTTGAGAATGATCATAATTTCTCTTTTGTCATTATCCTACTGACAGCGAATAAATTAAAAATGGAGTTTTCAAAAATGAAAAGGAAAAGGAGTCTGGCGCTCTAAAGCCGCCTACAATTTTTATTAAGGTTGTACTTTATTCTTAGAAGCTCTAAATTACCAATGGATCGGTTTAGGAAATTGGGTCAATTTTGAGCTTAACTCTTTTATTAATTTCTCAGCGTGTAGAGTGATTCAAAGAGTTTATCCTTAAGGAATACGACAAGCTACATGGTCCCTACCACCTGTTAGATGGAGAGTTTGTAACTCAGAAAGTTTTTGAAAAATTATAATTATAATCAAAGTGCACTAAATGGTGGATGAGAAGTGAGCAAATTCATTTTATAATTAACTTCAGAATTCCAATAATTGCAAAATAGTTAGGGGTTTTGGGGTTTTGGGGTTTTGGGGTTTTGGGGTTTTGGGGTTTTGGGG